ATCTCTTGCTGATCCCTGCTTCTCTCCTCCCTTTCTAAGGTGACTAGTAAGAGGACCTGTCAACACTCCCTCTCTGTGTGACATGAGTGCCAATGCACCGCACGTGGGTGTCAGTGGGGGACACAATTTCTGGTGACAGCTGGTATGTCAGACTGTTACATGCATTTTAAAAGTCTTCATAAAATATGTTGATTAGAAAGCAAGTCCCAGGCCTTATTCTGCCTATAAGGAGCACTCTCACTATGAAGTTGTGGCCTGGGACTCTTACAGCTTCAGCAGTTGGTGAAACATAGTAGTTTAAAGGGCTGCCCCGTGAAGTTCTTTACCAAGATGACTGCTATGGATTTGCTAAATTTTAATCTGCCACAAGCCCTTCCCCCCCAAGAAATCCCTATCCAGTCAATAGTGATATTCACCAAGGAGTAAAAGGATATAAAAGATGAAAGAGAAAGCATGTCAGAAAACAACACAATTACACCTGGAAGAGGCATCAGGAGATGTCCAGCCCCATAGCAGAATCTGCTACAACTTCTATTATTGCCAGAGGATGTTTCCTCATTGTTCCTGAAGGCCTCCAACAATGGAGATTCAATAACCTCCCCACGCAAACTCTTCCAGTGCTGGGCTACTCTTACCATGATAGGACCATCTCTCTTGCCAGCACTTACCGTCTTTAGTCTTTGTGCTACCACAGGCATAGGAAACAGGCTATTATCTCCCTCTTTGCAGCAGCCCATATATACAGAAGGCTATAATAACCACAAATCACGTTGCTGCCATCTACCCCAAATAACACCAATTCACTCAATACATACTCATCAGTCGTGTTATCTGGGACTGTTTATTCAGTCTTGTTGCTGTCCCTCTGCATAGTCTTGTTGATTTACACCTTTCTCGAGGTATAATCCCTGTGACTTGACATGGTACTCCAGACAAGGAAGGATTTGGTTTTTATACATTCTGCAGGCTATATTCCTCTCTATTCACCCTGGAATACTACATACCACCACAGTCATGACAGTGACACATGTACTGGCTTGTGGGTCCCTGCAACCGTCAGAATTTTTTCTGAATAATTGCTCTCTAGGAAGTTATTCTCCAGCCTTTATCATTAAAGTTGGTTACTCCTAAGAGTGGTATATAGAACATGACCTTATTGAACTGCAACCATTCTTTTTATGATTACTTCTCCAACTGATCAAGACCACTTTGAATTGTAGCCCTCTCTTTCATAGCATCTTTCATCCTTACCAGCTTAGTACCTTCTACATACATTGTTATCTCACTCAGTGCCATCATCTAAACCATTAACAGAAGTACAGAATAGCTCTTGCAAAGAAGCCACCTCTGGGATCCTCCCAGCTCATGCTTCCTTTCTGACAGTGGACTGTTCCTAAACACTTTCCTAGTCATCTTCAATCAGTATTTCAGGTATCATATAGCACTGCCCTCCAGACAAACCATACTAAAATTGGTGGGTGGGGGTGGAAGGTGCACACCTCTGTAGATACCAGGCTGTACAGAGACAATCACTTATGCGTGTGAGATCTTCTGGCACCCAGGCCTCTGCCTACCTGCCCAGGGTAGCAGCGGCAGTACAGTCCCTCATGTTATCAGCAGCATCCACTTTATTGGGAGAGGCCCAAAAAAACCAGAGGCACTTTGACTTTCCCAATGTCATCTGTTGATCCCTTTCACCCTCTAAATATTTTCTTTCAGTCCTTCTTTTATTACTAATGTACACAAAAACCAAGTTCTTACCACCTGTTGCACACCTGGATACTTTAATCTCATTTTGTGCTTCAAGACTTCTGATTTTACTGTCCCTACCTGCTATTTTTTTATCCTTGTTCTTGGAAATCTGACCTACTTCCCACTGTGCAAAAAAACTTCTTCCCTTCAGGGGCCACAAAGAGCTCACAATTTAGCTACATTGGTCTTCTACTGCACTTCCTTAACTCTCTTCCTTATTGGAAGAGTTTGCACTTAATATCTTTTCTTTAAGAAGCTGCCAGCTCTCCTTAACACCTTTTTCCTTTACACTTGCCAGAATCTTGCTACACTGCACAAGCTTGTAAAATGCAGAAGCCTATTTTATATTGCAAACAGGCTAATGGGATAGTTTTACATTTGCAGCAACACCACCCAGTGTAGTAAACTAATGTCATTGAGCTGACACTACAGACCAGTTTTGAGCAAAGATGAGCTGTTTTTAAGTAGAAGAGCATGTAACAGATAATTAAGCTGAAGGAAGAGCCTGACGCAGGTACTGCCATCAGATGGCTACCGTAAGATAAAATATGGGCACATTTTTAATGTATATATGGAATATCCCATTTCATGCAATAACAAGGAAAATTTGGGACAGGCTGTCAAAGCTGAAGTGATTTGGACTGTTATCTCTGAGTGTCCTCTTTAAATAAATGATCTGTTTTCTAACTTGTCAGTAGGTATCTGTTCTGAGGATCAGAAGTGCAGCTACAGAATCATAGAATCATCTAGGTTGGAAAAGACCTTTAAGATCATCACGTCCAACCATTAACCTAGCACTACCATCCCACCACTAAACCATGACCCTAGAGAGACCATCACTCAATGGAGTGCTGCCTCATTTGTTACAGGTCTTCAAAGGCATAGTAGAATCAGAAGAAAGAGGCTCTGGACAACTGGAAATGAGCATCATCCTTTGAGAAAGTATTGTATGCTAGCCTCTCCTCCACAGTTCTTATGTGCTGCTAGGGAAGCCCTTTATGCTAAATCTTGACTCAGCTGGTCACCAAATAAGTATTCCTTATTTCTTTGGCCTTCAGTTTCAAGCCCAGAGGCCGATTGCAGAGCTCCTGAGCACTCACTAATGCCACTGAAATCAACAGGGAATGTGCCTTGATCGCACAAAATGCATTAGTCCAAGAAATCGGGTCATTCAATGGGGCCCCCAAATTAGCAAATACTCTCAGTCCTGTGCTTCAACCACCAGGCTTCACTCCTGATTTATAAAGCCGAGATATCGCGTCACCTCCTCAGAATTGCTAACAATATATTAACATTTCTGAGGCACTCAGAAACTACAGTGAAAGAGCAGAATAACAATTTGCACAAGGAAATGACTGATTTTGTCTTCCAAGCAAGGTTTGAATAGTGTACAGAAGAAAAAAAAAAAAAGAAAAAATTATAGGGCAACACTTGGAAAAGTATTTTGCATCGACTCCTAAGTGGCTCCTGAAGGCTGCCCAATCTATGCACTCTATAAGACAAATCTCTGGAAGACAAGGCTCCACTTAGATAATAACAGATGCGATATAAATCTGACTGCATTTGCCTCGAAAGCAAAAAACCAAAACCAAACATTCACCCTAAAAAATGCTCCTAATTGCATAAAGACTGTATATAGCGCATTCACAGAGAGGGGCCCAGTTACTGAACAAAAAGCCTGTTAACTATAATGTTCTAACTACAACACTAACCATAGCATTGCCTTTTTAGCACTCTACTTTATGTCAGTAATGTTCCCTTAACATATTTTTGGTGTGTATAGTATTATATGCATATAAATGCTGCAAGGAAGGAAAGACAATTTTGGCCATAAATTATTTTACTCTGTCTCTTTAAACTGGGTACACAAAAACATGTTTGTGTTTATTGGAATAGCATCAGCGTGACTGACAGTGTATAGTGGATTTCATTTATCAGGTTTTCCTTACCGTTTCTGCAAACACTTTCCTCCTAATTGCATAACCTATGTTACAGGTTCATATAGCAGGAATAAAAATGGATTTGGTATGAGAATGAGCCTGAAGTATCTTAGTGAAGGATGAAGTGTCACCTCTCTCCGAATGGACAAAGTACTGGCTGCATCTGAGAATCCTCAAGCTTATAAAAATCACTAAAAAAATTACCATGGGAGGCAGCTGTAATATTTTCAGGGGTGGGATTTTGGTTTTTAGGCGGGGAAGGAGGTTGCTTTTAAGTCAAATGCAATCAGACTCATGTTCCATCTAGCATTATCTAAATACTCAACAACTGCTCTGTGCTTCCTTCTCCTGTGTAATCAACCATTTCTGACTGCGGTACAGTAACGCTGCATGAAAACTACTGGCAGCATGGTAATCTGCTGCAGCATACCTGCACAGTGCTACCGAGTTCGCACAATCACAGACGTGCCATCAGAAAAAACAAAGAAAATTGGAGGGATTTGCTTCCAAACAAATCCTTTAAAACACCCGTGATTTTAAAACAGAAAACAAAATAGTGTTTGCAGATGAGCAGCATCTTTGCAATTGATGCAAAAATTCCCTCCCTGTTAAGCTGTTCCTTAGGTTGGCCCTTCAGACCCAGTTATTGGCTTGTTTGTCCCTGAGTCAGTTTGGATTGCTGTGTATTACTAAATAATTCAGGCAAGTGACTCTTCCCTAGCTCTGCGAACACCTCCTGTCCCCGAGGTTAAATCCCTTTCCCAAAGAGAGTGGCCATATTCAAACTGCTTATGGTTGTGGTGCATGTTCACCTCCTGAACTGTGCCCAGACCATGCTTGGGGGACAGCTAATCAATGCAGGACAAAACCATGCTAAGAAGCATGTCAATATGGACATCTGTAGGACCTGCTCATGCATTAATATTCTGTCCCTGGTTTATTCAGGGGTATAACTGTAGCCTT